TACCTATTCACATCCATACATAATACACAGTGGCCTAGTGTTTCTGCAGTGCCCTTGACAGTATGGTATGTAGCATAAAGCAATAGTGTCCAACTCAGATAGAAATGGGAGTCACTAAACCATACATCAGGATCTCTGTAGGCTCAATATTGACTTCGTTTTAAAATGTAATATTATCTGTGCATTATTGGATTTTTATTTATTTTGTTAATTATTTCCTAATTTCATTTCAACCAGGTTTAGGCCTCACTCTGGAGTGTTGCAGGCATGCTGTCAGTGTGCCACATATTTTATACCTCTGGTGTAAATAATGTTGGACTTGGTGTTAGAACATCCGAGTTTATATCTAAACTGACATACTCAACTAGTTGTCTAACTAGGACATTTATTTAACTTTCCTGAATCTTGATTTCCTCATTTATGAAATGGGAAACTATATAAGTTCTTACACATCTTACCTCATAGGAGTTGTAAGAAAACATTCATAAGCCTTAAAGTGATATAAAAATGAATTATTATTGATCTTCATTCCCTTTTTCATTACTTCTGATTCTAATATATTATTGCCAAGTAACAGATGTTATCTCCTCAATCTGACCAACGTTTAGTACTTTGCCTCTCAAAGTACCATCTCAGAGCAAAAACTGGGGCAAGAATAAGAGCTGTATAGCTGGGTGAGATTTTAGAGGTACCCAATCCCTTTATTTGACTCATGAAGAAACTGAGACCTAGAGAGATGAAATGACTTGAAAGAAACTGCCAGAGATTGCACACTGATATCCCAGTCTTTCAGAAACCAGGATCCCCTCTATGTTTCAATGGAACATTGGAATGAGACCTTTGTGGCCATATGTAAGCCAATGAATCAATCAGAAATCTTTTATCAAGTCACTGTGCTACTTGCTGGGTAAACAAAGACAGAAGTGAAACAGTCCCTCAAGGAATGTATATTCTAATCAGGGAGATTACATGTATATGTATAAATACAGGCATAATACATACGAAATAAATACAGGATGATTATGAGAAAGAGGACCCTAACCATGGAGGTGGGTGAGGGGATCAGGAAAGGCTTCATGTATAGGGAATCACTTGAGATGAGTCATGAATGAAACCAAGTTTTCTAGGGGCTAGAAGTGGAGGAAAGTATTCCAGTCAAGGAGTATAGAGGATGAAAAGGCAAAAGAAGAGAAAAGGAGTGTTCTTTCTATGGAAAGTAAGTCACTATATCTGTATCAAATAGTGCAAGAAGGAAAATATATGTAAAAAGATTTGATAGGTAGAAAGGGGCAAGGTTGTAAAAAAATTTAAATGCCAAATGGAGGAGTTTATATTTGACTAGAGGCAATGGGGAGTTATTTGGGTTTGTTCATCAAGAGGCTGGCATGTTGACACCTGTCCCAGTAAAATTACTATGGAGGCTGTGTGGAGGATAGGTTGAAAAGGGGAGATATTTGAGGCAGGGATCATAATTAGGAGGTTATCGCAATATTTCAAATGGCAATAATGAAATCCTCAACCAGGGTGGTGGCTGTGTGAGTAAGAGAAGGGGACAAATGTGAGATGTGCAATGGGGACAGAAGTGACAATATATGTAGATATATGTGTTTATATATCTCTGTAATATAATTATGTTATATAAATTGGAGTCGGCTAATGAAGATGCTGGATCAAAAGTATAGGAATATCCAAATTGATTATCTTTAGTGTGTTAGCAAGTACAGACAACTTAAAGAAGTGCCATCTCAGTACTCTCTGTTGTAATTTCAAAATATTTTACTTGGAGTCAGGAAGCCCAGTATTCAAATTCTGCCTCTGAATTATTCTAAGACACAGGGAAAGTAATTTAACCTTTCAATACTTCAGGTACCTTTCTCTTTCTATGAGAATAAGATTCAGAACAGTTACTGATCTTCATTGGTAGAGGGAGTATCCTCACTTTCGACATTAAAATCTCAGATCTGGTCCAAAAAAAGTTAAGTATAAGTAATTGAAAGGCCTATGCAAATTTAAAATAATGTTAATGATGCCAGAGTTTTAAATTCAATTCCCATGTGTGTATTTTAGAGTTTCTGTATGTATGTGTGAATGTATACTCATATGCTTGTACATATATATGTGGGGAAATGAATACATGTGTGTGTATATATATATATATATATATATATATATATATACATACATACATACATACTGAATTTTTTCTTTTAGGGTTCTTAAATAGAAAAGTTGCTGTAAAATATTTATAGTAAATTGGGCCATCTTTCTTTAATACGTGTGGTAATGACAATTCCATTAATTTTGTTGTACTGTCTTTGAAAAATTTCTGAATATTTTATATATGAAACCTAATTTTTGATTTACTGAATACAAGCTGATATTATTGATAGGAAGCATAGAAAATTTTGCACTTAAAAATTTTATTAAAATTTTATAAATTTGTTCGAGATCTTCTTATATTATCACTCTTAATGTACATGATCACATTTGATCCAACAATCCTGTGAGGTAGGTAGGTACTGCAGGTGTCTGTCTCATTTTCACAAATGAGAAAGCTGATAGATTCTCAAAGAAATTAAGTGACTTGTTCACAGACACAAGGTCAAGAGATGTCAAAGATAGGACTTCAAACCCAGGTGTCTCCTGACATTCCAATATACAAAGCCACTGCTACAAATTCAAATGCAACAAAATACAGCAATAATATTTTTCAAGCACTTGGAAATTTGCTCCTTTAAGCCTGCTGTGATATCAAACTTCTGTATGAAGACTTGAAAAATTAACCCTAAATACTTTGTTATATAATGCTAAAGATGTGGATGCTTACAAAATACAAATTTTAAGCTGAATATTTTGGTTTTCATCTGAATTTTAAGAGTTATATAGATGTGAACAAAGAAAAATAATGTCAGAAAGCATATAGGCAATTTAGTACAAAATACATTTTTACTAAAATACATAAATAATGGAAATAGAAGTGCTTTGAGCGTGTTTTGTGTGTGGGTATGTGTGTGTTTTGGGAAATGGATTGCCTACACAATTGCTTCTATTTTCTAATTTGTTTTGTGTATGTAATGATAGCAACTGATATTTATATAGCATTTAAACACATTGTATAATTTTATCATCAAAATAACCCTGTGAGGTAGATAGCTACTATAGGCATCATTCATTCATTCACTCATTTATTTATTGTAGAGGAGAAAACAGGGCCTGAGGGAGTTTGAATGACTTGCTCATGTTCCCACAAATAGAAAGTGTCTGGAGGCAAACATAGTCTCAGATTTCCATTTGTAGCAATCTTTTCACTGTGTTACACTGTCTCTCACATATGCAGAGCATAGACTAACCTTTAAAGTTGTAAAGGACTTTAGACATTCTAAAGTCAGCCAATAGACATTTATTAAGCATCTGCTATGTGCCAGGGCTGTTCTAAACTTTGGGGACACAAATACAAATGAAAACAAAGACAGTCCCTGCCCTCAAAGAGTTTATAATGTAATGAGGGGAGATTGCACACAAAAGGAAGCCAAAAGTTGAAGAGGTGAGGGAGAAGGTAAAGGAAAGGGAGAAGTTGAGGTTTTTTGGGGGGCAGGTATGTTAGAGAGTTTGAGAGAAGTCCAAATGTTGTGTAGCTGGTGGGAGATGGGGAGAAAAACTGTGCTTGAGTCTTTTCTTTAAATAGAGGCCTTAAAGCCCATTGCCCTGCCCTCCAGCCATAGGGTCCAATCAGAGGGACAGGTGGTACCAATGAAATGTGAGCACCAGGCATTCAACATAGCATAATGATATTTCAATCGCATTCTGATAAATTATCTCAGATATTTATTCCTAATTGGCATGTAATTTTTAATCTTGTTTGATGTTTTCATCATACTGTAACTATGTTTCACTATAACATTTGAACAGGCTTCATCTTCCAACTGTCATCACATTTTCATTTAACAGGGAAACTTGTTTTAAGTTAAATGGAAGACCTTAAGGAAGGAAAATTGTAAGTGAGAAGTCATCATGGGTGAATAAAGATCAGTGATCACATCTGAGTGGTTTTTTTAAAAAATCTGGTTAATTCAACTAAAATATTATTGCTTACGTTTTCCAGACAATTCAGCAAATATTGTCTGAATTATGTAGGTGAAATGATTACCTTCACTTTTATGTGCATACACATTACACTGACCAACAGCCATTTAATTTCATTCTTTCAAATAATTTCAGTAATGTGATTTAATTCTTTCAAAACTCTTATTTTCTTCTTGAATAGCTAGTTTCCTTCACTAGTAAGCCATAACCTAATGTGTTAGAAGCTTAATACTACACAGTAAATTCCAGTTACCAAAGAGTATTAGCTGGCCAATGTCCATATATCAGTAGAGCTTCCTCAGTCCATCCCTACTGGAGCCTTTACATTCTGTCATAGCATTGGGTGTGGGTTTTGCTATATAGTGTACATATAGGAAATGATAGATAAAATGGAATATCGTGGATTTTATTCAGTGAGTCTCTGAAGCCTTGATTCCCTCAGACACAATTTAGGTTTTTGGCACCTAGATATTTTCAATTCAGTCCAAACCCAGAGAAGGTAGCGAACTTCTAGCCTATGTCCCATTAGAGTTGAAAAGCTCCTCCCCTGTGGAGGCAGGTCGGTATGAATGCATATAGGAACACAGTGTGAGAGGGAGGATCCTGGTCCCCTCTACTCTCACACATGCTCGGGGAACTGCAGAAGTAAAGGAAACAGCAGGACTAAGAAGCTGGAGTACACTTTCCCTAGTGCCTCCTGGTTATCCTAACAGACTTTCAGTCGCATCTTGCTGGACACTTCCAGGAGGCATTGCCACATCTGATCCTTTCCCTTAGGGAATACAGGAATTCTTAGAAATCTCTCTCTGTCTCTCTCTCTGTCTCTCTCTGTCTCTCTCTGTCTTCTCTGTCTCTCTCTCTCTCTCTCTCTCTCTCTCTCTCTCTCTCTCTCTCTCTCTCTCTCTCTCTCTCTCTCTCTCTCACCTCTCCCTATGACCCCGTGAAGTTTGCAACACCAGGAAGAATTGCTTTACCCAGTTTTCAGGTACAGACAGTCTCCACTTTAAGGAAGGAATTAAAGCACCTGAGTGCATGGATCAGCTTTCACAGTGTATTTTTTCCTTTGATATTTTTTGCAGGACACTTTCTCTGGTGACATAAACTTGACGAGGAAGAGAGGAAGACCGACCAATTTCATCTTTTGCTCTTCGTTCTTCAGTGTTATAGAACGCATGAAAACTACAGTGGATTTTTCAGTAGTTAAGACTATGGTTACAAAATCTCTTTCTAACCTTTCACTGCAAACCGACGAGAATGAAAGCAACTTGATTCCGGAGGTCTTAGAGACAGATTCCTTGCCTTCCTCAGAACAGGGCACCGCGGAGTTCGTGATCCGCTGCGTGATCCCGTCGCTGTACCTGCTTATTATTACAGTTGGTTTGCTGGGCAATATCACCCTAATGAAGATCTTCATCACTAACAGTGCTACGAGAAGCGTTCCTAACATCTTTATCTCTAGCCTAGCAGCTGGGGATTTGCTGCTTCTGGTGACCTGCGTGCCAGTGGATGCCTCTCGCTACTTCTTTGAAGAGTGGATGTTTGGGAAAGTGGGTTGCAAACTTATTCCCGCCATACAGCTTACCTCAGTGGGAGTTTCTGTGTTCACTCTCACTGCGCTTAGTGCAGACAGGTAAGAATGCCTGCCGTGGCACCGAGACTTTTTGATGTCGTTTTTTTTTTTTTTTTGGTGGGGGCGAGGGGTCGAGGGAACGGAGATGAGTAGGTGAAGAAAGAAAAGGAGGAAAGTAAAAATAAGGGAAAGGAATAGGCAGAGGGAGAAAGGAAGAAAGAGAGCTAAGGGGATAAGCAGGAGGGGGGGAATGAGGAAAATGGGAAGGAGAGGGGGAAGGAGTAAGGATGAAAGGAGAGACAGAGACAGGGGAGAGAAAGAGCCAGAGATAGAACGAGATAGAGAGAACGGGTAATTAAAACGTAATATAAAGGTGAAATTTGAAAACATAATTTAAAAATTTTATTTTAGAGATCAAAGTGCTTGAAATCATTTCTAAAATGCATTTATTAGTACATCACTACCATGAGACTCTTTCATACCACTTTGCACAGTTAAAGTTCATTTCAGGTGTCTTGTGAAGGGAGGAGAAATCTTCAAAGTGAGATTATATTTTATATTTTAATCAATAGGCTAGCTTGATAGTTCAGAATATCCCTTTAAAGTATCCCTCTCAAATGTTATCAGTATTTTGCCTCTGAAGTTTTTGATTGGGCAAAGGGAAAACATTTGCACTGATACATTTCTTCTAATACATTACTATTCTTTGAAGCAATAGCAACCACTTTTATGCAGTATCCTAAGGCCCAGTATTTTGGACATTTTATACTTGTTTAGTACCAGCAGTTTAAGAACATACAGTTTCCTTACAATTGGGATGTACCAAGTTTTATTATTTATAGACAACGGAGCAAATTAAAATTCAACTCCATGCAAGATGCTTTCAACATATTTTACAAAAATAAATACATTGCAGAGCAGGTGCTGGGCTTCAATGATAGGAGGAAATTCCTCACTGAGAGTTCCCTATACAAATGAAATCATGAGACTAGTCCCCCCCCCCCCAGAAAAAGCCCACACCATCCTTAAATGTGTGTGTATGTGTGTGTACTATATATAACTTTATGAAGACATATAGACTAGAATGTCATTTACAGATTGAGGGTCATCTAGTCCAACTGTTTAATTTTACAGATGAGAAAAGAAGATTCAGAGATGTCATGTGATTCATAACTTATGGTATGGTATGGTGTGGTATGGTACAGACCTAGGATTAGAACCCAGATCTCTTATTCCTGTCCAGGGATATTCTCACTGTATCTTACTCTCATCCTTTCAAAATCTTAAGTAGATAGCTAAAAAAAAAGGATGATTTTTCTTTTTCTTTTCTTTTTGTCAACAAGGATAGCACTATCTCCACAGCTGGATGGAAGCATGGACTGGAGACCTGTGTATGCAGTGAAATATGAATGTACTAATTGGATAATTTATACTTCTAGTAACTCATTCTGTACTATCTAAACATTTTAATGTCATGTTGTCTAGGAAAGGTGAAGAAAAGTTGATGCAAAAATAAGTGGATGGAAAATTGATGTTCTTTAATTTCTTAATCCAAGTTGTTAATGAAAAACAAAGTTTGGATTACTGAATTATCCAGGTCATTGTATTAATTCCTTATTCTACTTTGTCAGTGGTGAGTTGGTCAGAGATAGCATAAGCATAAAGTGAAGTGGAGATTTAAATATCTAAGTTGAAGACTGTGAAATATCATTCAAAAAAATTAAACTTCAATGCACACTTTCATAGAGAATACTAGAGTTGTCTGAGTTATCTGAAAACTTTATTCAATTATGTATGCTACTTTGCTTATATGAATATAACTTATCGTTCATTTTAATGTTCTGACAGTTTTCTTGAAGTGTGTGAAACTGAAGATACACCTTTTTGTCTTATTTTATATATAAATCCATTTTTATGTTTTAAATTAAAATGATGCTATGATGATTTTGGACAAACCTCATATATGGATCTTACTGCAGCAGTTCTAGTAATTTTTATCATTTTTGATGTGATTTTTCAGAACAATCCTGAGTTTACCAAGTTGGTTTTCAAAACTTCCAGGGAAACAAAGTGAAATTGTTCTGTCCACGGTCAGATCCTGCTTTCTATTTTCTTATCAGGTATTAGCAGATAGCAGATAAGTGTGAGTGGTTTCCATATAGACTGGATTCTCAGTAAATAAGTCCCAGATAATTTTAACACCACGTGAGTTTCCTTCCTTTTATTCAACTGACTTTTTAAATACCTCCCTCTGTGTTGCTGTGTGCTTGGGGAATAAAATATAGTCGTAGTAGCAATCCAAGGCAAATAGATAATTCATTTCAAAATCTAAAATGATTTTTGAGTTATTTGCTATTTTTTATTACCCCTATCTTGGTTCTCCTCCTAAAGTATGGATGATTATGGGGTGATGTAATGGTAGTAATCCAAAAAATATGCTTCAATCCACACTCTGAGTCCATCACCTCTCTATCTGGGCTGGATAGCATTTTTAAACATGAATCCTCTACAATTGTGGCTGGTTCCATTTTGTGGATCAGACTTCCAAAGTCTTTCAAAGTTGTTTGTCTTTACAGTATTGTTGTTATACTATAAATTGTTTTCCTGGTTCTGCTAACTTCACTTTACATTAGGCATGTATTTTTTTAACTGCTTCTCATCCCCAATGCAATATAGTCTATATTTCTGTCATTTTCAAAAAAGCCCATTTATACTTTGGTTATTTGGGACTCAGAACACATTTTCTTTCTTCTTTTCTTTTTTATTATGGATGTAACAATCATTAGCAAAAACAGACATTTCATTATACAAAGAAGAACAAGGAAGAGAATTCTTCAGAACACCCACTAGGCATCTTTCCATTGCCCTTTGAGTAACCTGTAATTTTGATTCTGTTGAGATTATGGTGTCATATGATTTGAACCATATAGCATCACTGGAAAACTATTGTTAAAACATACACCTTTGCAGCAGTGAACAGCTTGAAATCATTGAAGGTATTGTGCAACTTCCCAAATTTGATTCAGCCCATACTCCTCCTCCTATTCAATTTCCCATCTTCACAATCTGTCCAAGTTATCTACACCAATGGATAGGATTTATAATTCATAAAGTGTTTTAAATACATTATTTCATTCAATCCTCATTATAATCTTATAAATAGGTTATTACAGATAATATCCTTACTTTACAAGAGATATGCACTATGGATAGTGCATAGTGGATAGAAAACTGTCCTTGAAACCTGGAGGGCTGGGTTCAAGTCCTGTCTGTGACATATACTGGTTGTGTGACCTTGGGCAAATGACTTAACTTCTCACTGATTTGGGTTACTCACTAAGACTAAAAGTTGTAGAAAGGGTGCTGACCTGCATTGTAGAGAGAGTGTCCCTGCCTAGGAGTTCAATATATAAATAAAATAATAGGCTTAATCTTTATCTCTATTTTACATACAAGGGCACTGAGATTCAGGGATATTAATTAACTTGTCTAAGGTCACACAGTTAGTATCAAACCTGTTGGGACTCAAACTCAAGTCCTTTGCCTCCAAATCCAGTCCTGTTTCCATTATTCTTATAAGTATACTTTGTCTAGAAGCCTTAATTTCACTACTTATTTTAAATTTTACCTCTTATTAAATATTATATATATATTATATATAAACACAGCAATAACAGAAAAAACAGAAGAGAAAGGAAGTTGTTATTAACTTGTCCTATTTGATAGCAGACCAAAAAGTCACATGCTGAACAGTCCAATAATTCAATGTAGATGATGTTAACTAGTCTCAGTAGCAAAATAACAAATATTTGAATGCAAATTAAAGATAAAGTTGAAATAATTTTCTGGCTAATTCATTTAAAAACCCTGAAATTGAATGAAGAGGGAATTGGGCTTTTTTTTTTTGGTCAGAAAGACTCATCTGAAAATTTCATAGTCACTGAATCATAGAAGATCCATCTGATAAATCTTAATCTTCTATGTGCATTTTCCTGGGGCCATAGAGAGGCCAAAAACACAGTGGCCTGTAAAGGAGACAGATTATTGAAAAGCATGTAAGCTCTTTACATAGTACAAAGTATAGTGGAGACTTGATAAAATTCATCAATATAGATAACAAGACCACATAACTGAAGTATCAAATTTTGAGCAGATCATTTTGGCCCAGACACTCATTTGGGCCCCATATTGTATTTTTTAAATATAAGGACAGAGATTGATGGCCTAATCAGTGCTGCTTTCTTATACTTGTGCCTAAGATTGTTATCTCCACTGTCTAGCACACATAACAGGCTCTTTAACATGCTTGTAAATTGATTTAGCTACAGTTGTCCTTTGAAGAGAGTCATATATCCCTGGAAAAGATCCAGTTGGATCCAATTTTTATGAATAGGATTCACTTTATAGGTAAATATTGGGTAACATCCATGCACAATTTACAGAATATTGACAAAATCCTTTTGGCCTAAATATCTCTCTTATTACCTGTTACAATGCTGAAACCTCACTATTTGGCTTCCCTTCCTTTGCTTCTCAAAGTCTTTTTGATATTTAATAATTTTGGATAGAGTTCACTAGTCTCTGAAGTAGATGCATTTTAGAAACCAGTCTAACCATGTCAGGTAGCTTCAGTGGCTCCTCATTTCTCTCTCTCTCTCTCTCTCTCTCTCTCTCTCTCTCTCTCTCTCTCTCTCTCTCTCTCCTCTCTCTCTTTCTCTCTCTCTCTCCTCTCTCTCTCTCTCTCTCTCCCTCTTTTTCTTTCTTTCTTTTAATAAAAACCAAACTATTATTTTTGGCATTAAAGCTTTTCACAACCTGGTTCCATCCTATTTTTCTATGCTGAGTAAATACACATTACTACTCTTCATGTACTCTCTGCTACAACCAAACTGGTGGTCTATTTGCTGCTCTCTGTACTATGACATCCTATTTCTCATTATTATGTCTTAGCACAGTCTATTGTCCATGCTTAGCATGCACTACATTTTCACCTTTACATCTTTGAAGCTTTAGTTTCCTTCAAGGATCAGGTCAAGTGCCACCCCTTTGAAAAAGTCTTT